AAAGCTAAAATCACAATGGTGTAAAAGGTTTAATTATACCTCTGACATTCAGAAGGGTTGGGTTTATGCCCTTTAAACTGTTCACCCTTGAAAGGCTTGAGAGTTCTGTGGCCAAATGTTACTGAATTATCACAATAAGTGATATACATGAATACATAATACATTGTAAATTTAACAACAAAAAAGGCAGATTAAAAGCAATACCTTCTGTTTTACCTTTACTTGGTATTTTTTCCCATTTTGATGAGCCCATTTAGGTGTTTACTTTCAGTTTTGCACTGTGTTTACTCACATCTGAAACAGATTGTTCATATGTAGGACTGGGAAGAGAAAGAATAGCAAGATTCAAGGGAACATCTTATTTTGGTAGATTTTTGTTGCTGGGGTATGTTGTTCACCTGACAGTCAAAATGGTCCCAAACTCACCTTAAAAATTTAGCCAATTTCCTAACATTTCTTTTGTCTTATGCCCTTTCTTATAGGGGTTACTTTGTATTTTTTTTATTTTACTTATATATCTCTGTTCCAAAATGTTTGAAAATTAACAGGAAATACTTGCTGTAACTACAAGTTACTAGTTTTAAATTATACATCAATAGATTCAGTTGAAAACACTGACCCTGCAGTAACACTATCTATATTACTAATGCTCCGTGTCTATCTTGTTTGAATGTTACTTGTGTGATTAACGTTAAGATTGTGATTAAGTATATTAATGACTCTGGACAAAAGCAGTAAAGGTGATTGTGAGCACTGTGATTTCATATCTACCCTGCATGAGTGATCAGATCTGTGGACCAAACTCTTTTGATCTTGCTCACACAAGTAGCCTTTTGACTTCAATCAGTCTGTTTATATGACCAAGGCACACAGGCAAAGCAACTCTAGATAAATAACACAGAATCTTACCTTCATACCTCTAAAAGCAACAATACCATTGGCTAAATGCCAAAGAGTCCTCTGGACCGCTCTTGTACTGGGTCTCCAGCAAAAGCAAGTCTGAGCACTTCAATGCAGCTATGCTGTCTTTCACCCGGCAGTGTATACTTAACTGCCTTGACAAAAGGGATGAAATACATGAGAGTCCCATTCTAGGAAAACTATTGGTTTACTTCTTACCATCAAACATGAGCGATGCCAAGAATTATAAGTACTTTCCCAGCTTGTGGTTTAAATGATTTAAAATTAAAATCCCAGAGGGAGTCCCTGAGGTAAATAGTGCTGCAGTGAAATGAAGTCACTTTTCAGAAAACAAATTTTCTCAGATGTCATCCCCACATAGTAAAAGATGAAGAGAAACTAAGACATTTCAGAAGGTTATTGCAATGAGCACACCTGTATTAGCAGACCGATACAGCCCTTATTATTTAATGAATCCTTTTAGATATTAAATTTTCAATCAGTATGCAAACCCGTCCTTTAGAACTCTTGTTCCAGTTATGTGACCTTTTAATTTTAGACATATAAAGAAATAGCTATACAAGATGTCACAATATTTTAATTCAGGCCTTTTGATTATAACACTCAATATGAATAGCACCAACTTGTGAAAAGAGCTGTAAGAAAAGCTTAAAAATAAATATCCTCAGAACACTTTTTTTTTTCAATTCCTGTTTTCATATCACCTACGCATGAAAATAAATGACAGCCTTAGCTTCTGGGTTCTAAGAATCATTCTCAAACGTACTAGAAATTTCTCATAATTAGATCTTTTTAAAGGGTGTATAATTTATTTAAATCAGGCCATTTCTATCTTGGAATAAATTTGATTCAAGAAGGAAAATGTACTGAAAATATCAGATGCTTCCAGGATGTATACTTAGATATTTGTGTATCCTCTGATGTATTTTAGACTGAAATATGTATTTCACACTTGAATAATGTGTATTTCAGTGCTCTCTGGCTTGTACTGTCAATGGTGAGACTAAAAGTGTTTCGCAGTTTCTCCTTGGTTTCATTTCTCTCTAAAGCAGCATTTCCCTTCTTCTCACACACACATTTACTGGGAAAGCAAATGCAGAGCCAGCCAGGTACCAGGTAGGGACAAGCAACACAGTGAGGATGGAAGACTTTCTCCAGCATGTAGCTGTCGCATAGTCTAGATGTTGTCTTATATCTGCTTTACTGTGCCAGTGATGAAGGTTGTAGGAGTTGGGGCTGAATGGTTTAGAGCAGTCAAAGACAGCTCAGTACTTGTAAAATATTGGATTTTAAGGGTACTCCTTTAAAAAAGAAAATAAATCAGTCTTGAAGCTTGTGAAAAAAAGTTCAAGAG